ACAAACACAAGACAGACAGGTAAGAGACAAACACAAGACAGACTGGTGAGACACAAACACAAGACAGACAGGTGAGAGACAAGCACAAGACAGACAGTTGAGAGAAAAACACAAGACAAACTGGCGAGAGACAAACACAAGACAGACAGGTGAGAGACAAACACAAGACAGACTGGTGAGAGACAAACACAAGACAGACTGGTGAGAGACAAACACAAGACAGACTGGTGAGAGACAAACAAGACAGACTGGTGAGAGACAAACAGTTGAAACTCATGTGAGACATTTGAGTTAGCTGCTTCTTGCCTGTGTGTGTGTGTGTGTGTGTGTGTGTGTGTGTGTGTGTGTGTGTCACCTGCTGTGGTGGTGAGAAGGATCTGAACCAGGTGAGCCACAGTGATCAGATGAAGGAGATGGAGATGAGAAGAATCTATAGACGTTCGTCCTGATTGGTCGAGACCGTGAAGTGAGCTGTAGGACAACACACTATACACCTGCAGACACACAAACACACTGAACTGTCACTGGTTTAACTGGATGTAGAGTAAACTGGACTCAAAGCAGTTCAGATGTGTTTAATCTGGACTCACACTCGATAACTTGGATATAAACTGGAGTGACACTGGATTAACTAGAGTTAACATAAATTCACACCAGGATATAAACCAGCCAGCACTGGTTAAACTAGGTTAAATCTGAAGGGAGAATGGTTAACTGGGTTAAAAATGAACCAACACTGGTTTAACAGAGTTTTAACTGGACTAACCGTGGTTTTATTAGATTTAAACAGGATTTAAAATTGACTCACACTGAATTAACAGCACATAAACTTCCCTGACTCTGGCTAACTGGATTTAAACTGGACTTACACTGGTCATGCTGGGTTTCAACAGGGCAGACATTAGGCTAATTGGATTTAAATTGAACTGACACTGGTCTAATTGGATTGAAACCAGATTAACACTGGTTTAATTTGATTTCAACTGGAGTGACACTAGTTTAAGTGACAGTAAACTAACACAAACAGGTAAAAAAAAATTATACTAAACTTAGGCTGAAAATAAAATGATGGTACTCACCAGCAGGTGAAACATGTCAATGTCAAAAATACATGGAGTGTCTTCTACTTGAAGGCTTGGAACCAGAACTGAGGCAAAAACATGACAGGTACAACCTGAATATTTACAACTCATCATTTGAACGGATGTCTCACTTCTGTGTAGAGCAGACTGTTGTTTCACTGCTGTGTGCACAAGCAGCAAAGACTCTCTTGACTTGGTTGTGTACCTGAGAGCAGTCTGATGAGGTGAGCATGGACTGTTCTAGGTGGAGCTGAAGTCCAGCAGGCTGAGCTGAACCTGGTCAGAGAGCTCAGACAGTCATCCTACAATACATCAAACACAGGAACCACCTTAATACAGCTGTGGTGAACTGTTCGCACTAACCTGTTCACCACCTCACAATAGAACTTATCCTTACAGAGATCAATTTGTTGAGTCTTACCTGTCGGCAAGGTAAACTTCCAAACAATGGCTTATTTTCATCCATCAGGAGGCGCTCTGCATACAAACAGAAACAAAAACAGTGAGCATGAATCCAAACCAACCAGCGTGTCTGACAGGTGTGTGCATACCTATACTCTGGATGGTGTAGGCGCAGGTGGACCAGCTCAGCACCGGGACTCTAGGGTCCTGCTCATTGGGATTCACCTTCAGTCCCACCTTGTAGGCTGATATACTGAAGGTGTTGATCATCTCACTGATGCTACTAGAATATGGAATCCTGAGGGATAGAGTGACATCATCACTGACATCTTCATGTCCTGCAGCAAGTCATTGTTGAAGGTGAAAAGAAACAAACTCACTGACAGGTGCAATTAACCAAATTTGTAGTTTTGATTTGGATTTTCAAACCAAACAATCACAGAAGCAGTATAATCATGGAAAAAAAATATTAAAAGTATTTTGGCATTTTCCAATTTGCTTCTTGCTTCGAGTCCTGAATGAGCAACCCGCCACCACGAGTAGGGTGGTGGGGAGCAGACACAGAGAGTACCAATGCACTCAGGAATAACATTTATCACTAAGTTTATAACCAGTCACTGTTTAAAGCTAACATCATAACCTGCCATTTGAGTTTTTAACCCAAGTGAGTCAAATTTAGCTTTCAGCCAGCCTACACAGAAACAAGAGCACAGACAAAAGTTAAATTACTACTGACAAATTACTTGTCGAGTAAATTCAAAAAAGTTCAATACAAAAACAACTGAACTTTATTTGTAACAGAAGACGTTTCACTTCTCATCCGAGAAGCTTTCGCAAGTCAAAGAACAGTGAGTGGGGTTCAAGTTATAAAGTTGAGGTAAGATACATACATACATACATATGCAGATTGACCTATCACACTGCAGAGCAAGAGCGCATGGAGAGGAGGAAAAGTGTCACCACAAATATTGCTAGCTTAATTAGCTTACCTCAACCAGTTTTTACTGTTAACTGTAATATAATTAAAACAAGTACATTTGTTTACTCTGTCAGAGTGTGTGTTTACCAGCTAATAGCATATTGTGAAACAGCTGCCATGACATGTCAGAACTATCCGTGGAGACTAACTCTGAGTCCCAGTGAAGCTTCAGTTTATCTGGTTCTCATAAAAACTGGGGGGTTATAATTATATCTGGCTGGTGTCTGTCAAATATCTTGGTCTTATAATGATACCAGAGTCCATATTTAAATTTTAGAGCCATTTAAAGCGTTCTTTATGCTGCTGCCTACTGACTCCTTCTTCTTCTTCTTTCGGCTGCTCCCTGCGTTAGGGTTCGCCACAGTGAACTAAGTCGCACGAAGATTTGTCAGTTATTTTATTTATTTATTTATTTATTTTTACACCGGACGCCCTTTCTGATGCAACCACAGACCACCGAGCTACCACAGCCCTTTGTATGGAGCAGAGAGCTGCTATCTAGGACACACAGAGGAGCAGATGGTGGGGGTTAAGGGCCTTGCTCAAAGGCCCAGAGTGGGACGAATGAGGGTGGGGGAAGGTGTGGGTGCTTCACCTACCCCACCCACATTATTTATGTTGTCGGTACCGGGGCTTGAACTGGCGATCTTCCGATCACAGGCCCACTTTCTCTAACCTCTGCGCCACCACTCCCCGCCTACTGCCTACCGACTCCCGATTTTTCTTAAAACAAATATTTCTCCTAAAATCACTTTAAACTGAAACTTGTCATTGGTTATTTTTTTATATGATGACACTTTTACAAGAAAGTGTTGCTAATTAAAACAAACAAAGCACAAATATCTTTGCTGAGCCATAAAGCAACAACAGTGCCCTACGAGGACTCGGCTCGTGTCAGGGGTCAGACTTCGGACTGGACCTACACCTGACAAAAGGTTTGAGGCTTTTCTGCTTGAAATAAATGAGGTGGACTGCACACAGTGAGTGTATTACATTACAAGTTTGAATTTGAATTGCGAAGTCGGAGGGACACTTTTGAAAAGGAAATCTAAAGTAGTTTTAAAAAGCAGAAAATATTTTCCATAACAAAAACTTTTACCTAGTCTTGGTCAATATGTTCATCCAATCGCCCAACATTTAAACCCCCCAATTAAAAACAAGGATAAAACTCGAATATCCATTTAGAAAATCTGACCTATAGTCAGGGGTTTGTCTAGAAAAATATTTATGGGGTGGGGGTGAGGAAGTCCTTTGGATGAAAGATGAAACATCTCAGCAAACACCCCCCCCCCCCCCCCCCCCAAAAAAAAAAAAAAAAAAAAAAAAAACACAAACAAAAGAAACTGTCCAGATGACCTGTCTGAACATTGTTGGATTTTATACCTAGATTATTGAGCATGAACTTTGATGTATATCTCTTGTTGTGCCACCTCTTCTACACTGGGTTTCAGCTGCTTGAGACATTCACTTTGCAGTTCATCAATTGATGCTTTCTTCTTCATGTGTTCCAGAATCTTGGTTGTTTCATCCTAGGTTTGTGATACTCACTAGTTCTGCCTCCCTCCTTTCTCTTAGTGTACTGTCTCAATGTGCCGGACTTTGTGCATTGTGAGGAGTTTTTAAGTCTTGATGTCAGCGGCTTCTATCTCCTCATTTGGCCAGGCTATTACACCAGCTGGATATCCGATGACTGGCACAGCGTGCAAGTTGATGGCTTGAAATTTGTTCTTGCATTCAGCTGGTTCTTCATGTCCTGCCTTACTCTCTGTTAGTACTTAGTTGTGGCTGACTTTCTTGCAGTCTCTTGCCTGTGGGATTCCAAGGTATTTGTAGCTGTCCTGGATATCTGCTACATTGCCTTCAGGTTGTTCAATCTCTTCACCTGTGATTACCTTGCCTCTCCTAGATACCATTTGACCACACTTATCCAGTCCAAATGGCATTCCAATGGCCTTTAACACAGTCATCCTTGCTGGTGAGGTAGATCAGTGAGTCAGTGTCTCACTCGTTTTTGACATACAGCTTGATGTCATCCATCTAGAGGAGGTGACTTGTTCCACTTTGGAATGGTACCCAATGTCACTCTTTGTGATATACACATTGATATAAACATGGGAAGTTCTGTTGATGCCTTACTTTTTTGGTTTAAATTAGTCAATAATTCTGAATATTTTTAGTTCCTTTTAATTAAATAAATGTCCTAATCTACCAAACGATGAGGCATTTTTAGATGAAAAAATTTAGTTAAACCACAAAACATAAAATGAAAACTGGGACAATAAAAGATATTTTATAGAGAATATAGTGAAGCAGCCATATGTCCCAAAGGGGATGAAGAGGATTAAGCTAAGTTACAATATAGTGGAAGTTTTTAGTGCTGATTTTATTTATTTGTGTTTATTTATTTATTTTTTTACTTGCCTGCTAGCCTCCTTAGATAGAGAACTTTACTAATTGGCTTTTCTATGTATGTGAATGTTCCTGCAAAGTGCCCTGAGAAAACTTTGTTGTGATTTGGCGCTATATAAATAAACTGAATTGAATTGAATTGAATTTTTAAACAGGAGACTACATTTTAATAAAAACATTGTCAATTTATTTAAGTGATAGTTCAACAGGAAGGTTTCCAAAACAAGAGGTTGGATGCACCACACTGTACTCTACTGTAAGAGCAATAAAAAAATAAAAATTAAAAATAAATCACTGTAATGCCACTTTAATTGGTAATATGTGACTTATCTGTGCTGCTGATTATCTATGCTGCTGATCTCATGCTGCTGTATTCATTCATACCCATCTACTCACACAGATTCATGTTCAGGCTCCTACTGATACGCCGTATTGTTTAAAATTTTATTTTATATCTTAGATCTTTATTTACTGTTTCTTTTTATACTTTATATTTTAGCTTTTGTTGGGTGTAACTGGGACCCTGTGTACATAATTTTGTTCCACCTCATGTACCACATGTGGCGAGAATGACAATAAACCTACTTGAACTTGATAAATGCAACATTTTCAAACTCGGTGAGGAATGGCTTTCAATAATTCTGATTACAATATTGATCAAAATTATTGTGATTCTTATTTTTACATAATCGAGCAATCTTACTCACTGTGGAATAAAGTTGACTGTGAACCCATCAGGAACAGCAGGCTCCGCCCCTCCCAATGTGTCTAGAACATACAAACAAAACAACACCTGAACACATATTAACACTCACAGAAAGGTGTGACTCCGCCCTCTAACTGACCGGTGACTGACCATTTGACTGCTTCCTGTGGGTGAAGTGTAACACTGATATCTGCTGACTGATAGTCTTCAGCCACGTCTCCAGACTGGGATGATCAGCACTGAAACAAAACAGGTAAACGTTAGCTATTCCACACAGAAAGAGCACCCGTCCTCAGGTTCATTTAGCATGAACAGATGTCCGCTATTAAGACCAGACACCACAGTATGTAGAGGGAGGAGTAAAGTATTCACAGGAGAATTGGCACCACTTGTGTATGATAGATACTTTATTAATCCCAGAGGGAAATTAGAGAAATTATTTACAATTTATTTATAATAAACTTATATTATAAATTTGGGAAATTGATGTGTATCTGAAGACAGGTGTTACTGAGTTAGGTGCATCTGACAGCAGGTACGGGTGTGGGTGTAACTATGGGCGAGTGTTTGTGTACCTGCGGTCAGGTGGGGAGGTGTGCGGCAGTAAGGGGATCACAGTGTTGCTTAAACACTCGCACAGTGGACATAAAAACTCTCCTTTTTCCGCATCATAGCTGGTGTGGCCTCTCAGCCGCTGCTGACGTCTCTGCTCTTTTAGCTGCACAGCCTCAAAGTACCTGAATACAAACAGGTGTAACGTGGTCAGCAGAACTGCCCCGTGAGCCGCTGATGGGTCAGTGCATAGCTGCAATATCACACCTCTGCCAGCAGGTGGCATGCATGATGTGTCCACAGCTGGCTGTGTGAATTCCCAGGGACAGGTCGGGGTGCATGAACAGGGGGTCGTGGTGCTCTGAGAAACACAACCACATGTTGGGTAACAATCAGTAAAACAGACAGGTGAGTGTTCAGGTTACGTGAGAGCGTTGCTCCACACACCTGGGTCAGGAAGGCTGCGACTGCGATTCTTAGACAAAACTGTGGACCTCTGGATGAACGCAGCCAGAACCATTGCTCTGCCATGACCTCTGACTTCCTGCTCCTCCTGACATAGGATGCAGGTCACCAGCTGACGACGCTCAGTCCCGCCCATCCTCCCGGGACCAACGCACATCAGAGAAGAACAGGTGAGTTCTGAACTGGTAGGACTGAAAGGAGAAGATCAAAACATTTTGATGCTCGTCTGATGAGCAGGACAAAAGCAGGTCAGCTACAATGCGTTTCCAGGTGTGTGCCCAGGTATACCTGTGCTCAGCAACAGACGTGGAAGCCTCCAGCTCCTCCATGCTCTGCTGGAACAGCTCCTTGTTCTCGTTGATGAAGTGTTTCTGCATCTCAGACATTTGAGCCATGATCTTCTCCCTGCGGAGCCGAGCCATCTCTGCTTTCCGCTTCCTCTCCGCCTTGTCTTTGTCCCTCACTGTCTGCATTGGGCCACACGCCCACAACACAATCAGTTTATCTTTACTCTTTTTTTTTAATTGTTTTACGCCAATAAAGAAGTATTTCTGCCAACAAGAGTAAAGTAAAAACATGAACTTGTTCTGACCTCCTCCAAATATTGTCCCTGGTTGACGGAGATGCTGAACGTAGATGATGTCCGTTCTCTGATGGTTTTGATGTTTGCCACCATCTGCTCACCAACAAACAGACAAAAATCATCAACAGCTGGATAATTCATTGTCCCCATCCTTCTGAGAGGGACACCAGTGTTTATGATTTTTTATGTGAAAACTGGACTTCAGTGGCCTCAGTTGCATTTGTGCCTAAAAAATCCGACCTGGCTCGGCCCCAGACTGTAGACATTTTTTCCGAGCCTGACACGACCCAATCATTTAACTGTAATTAGAGGCTCGAACCCGAAATTTTTTTTTTTGGGTTTGGGATTTTTTTTTTTTAATTAAGCTTTTACTGCTTTTGTAAGCAAATCACTTTGACATTATTTAAAAACGTATTTCAAATAAAGGAAGATGTAAGATTTCTTGTTTCACCAAATGGATATAAACAAAACAAATAGTCTAAAAAAATCAACTCTAAAGATAAGCTATTATATCTAAAAAAGTTAAATCTGGTCCTCTGGACATTCAAAAAAACTAAACAAAGCAAAACAACAAAAAAGTGTAGAAACGTTTCGTCTCTCATCCAAGAGACTTCCTCAGTCTGAGGTGCTGTATTCAGCTCAGTCTCTTAAATAGCACCTTCTCAGAGTGGATCAACCAGTTTTGCTGCTGACAACCAAAACCAGCTGATCACATGCTCAAGAAGGACCATCAGCCTAACAATGGATCATTAGCACACTGATGGCTGTTTACTGTTCACAGAGGGCTGAGTGATACTAGCAATCACAGCATTGTAAGAGGGGGACAGTTGAACCCGGTGGCCTCCACCCCTGTTTAATGATGGACAATTTCTTTTCACAAAGATGGCCTCCTTTACTCCTCTCTCAAACCATTGTTCCTCTCTATCCAGGATGTGAACATCTTCATCCTTGAAAGAGTGACCGCTGGCCTTGAGATGAGTGTAGACCGCAGAGTCCTGGCCTGATGATGTTGATCTTCTGTGCTGGTCCATCCTTTTGGCCAGTGGCTGTTTTGTTTCCCCGATGTAAGACTGATCACAGCCCTCCTGACACTGAACAGCATACACAACATTGCTCTGTTTGTGCCGGGGGACTAGATCTTTGGGATGAACCAGTCTTTGCCGTAATGTATTTTGGGGTTTAAAAGCCACTGGGACATTATGTTTAGAAAATAAACATCTCAGTTTCTCTGATACTCCCTCAACATATGGAATGACCACTGGTCTGGCATGAAGATGTGCACATCCTGGATAGAGAGGAACGATGGTTTGAGAGAGGAGTAAAGGAGGCCATCTTTGTGAAAAGAAATCGTCCATCGTTAAACAGGGGTGGAGGCCAACGTGTTCAATTGTCCCCCTCTTACAATGCTGTGATTGCTAGTATCACTCAGCCCTCTGTGAATAGTAAACAGCCATCAGTGTGCTAATGATCCATTGTTAGGCTGATGGTCCTTCTTGAGCATGTGATCAGCTGGTTTTGGTTGTCAGCAGCAAACTGGTTGATCCACTCTGAGACGGTGCTATTTAAGAGACTGAGCCGAATACAGCACCTCAGACTGAGGAAGTCTCTCGGATGAGAGACGAAACGTTTCTACACTTTTTTGTTGTTTTGCTTTGTTTTTTTTGTTTTTTTGAATGTCCAGAGGACCAGATTTAACTGTTTTAGATTTTTCTACCTGGATTATTGAGCATGCATCAGGATATAAGCTATTATACAGATGAAAAAAAATTATAGTAAAATTATTTGGAAAAATATAGAACAAGGCTATTTCAATTGAACGTGCTGCTTGCTTCGGCTTTTGTAGCTTCAGATGCTGCAACAACTTCCTTCACCGCAGATGACAGCAAAGCGCGGAGAGACACGTGACCGGTGATCAGGTGATCCATCTGAGCTTAACTGGACATTTTTTTGCCTCTTTCAACTGGCCGGTCGGACCCGCCTCCTCTACAAGTAGATTAACACAATTTTATATTGTGCATTCTTATTTAGTTTTCTTTGTACTGTATGATTCGTAAAACCATATCACAAGGCCGAGACCGACTCGGCCCACCCATCAAGCATTGGGACGACCTGGCCCTAATTTGGGTTGGGCTGGGTCAGGCCCAGGTTAGAAATGGCAGCTCTACAGCAGCAGGGTGCAGAGCGAGACGCATGCGGCCGATGATCCGGTGATCCATCTGAAGCTTAACAGAAAGTTTTTTTTTTTACCTCTTTCAACCGGCCTGTCGGACCTGAGCGTGCACCTGACACACATCAGCAGATTTCACTGTGCTGGCTTTAGAGTGAGTTCTCCTGTTTTTAGCTTTTGTTTAATACTTTCTAGCTCCATTATGTCGTTTGTTGTGGGTCAATTGCAAATCCTCAGCTAAAGCCCGACACTGACTCTGCCCACCAAGCACATAATTTTGGCCTGACCCGAATTTCAGGTCGGGTCGTGCATGGGCTCCGGACAAAAATCTCAACTCTACCTCAGATAGTCTGACAGTCCTATGTCTGACAGTCCTATGCTGATGGAGTAAGAACTTCTCTTTAACTCAGGTGAAAGTTCTTAGTCATTCAGGGACATTTAAACAAAGGCATCTGGACTTCTTTAGTTTTGGTTCAATTCAGTTCATTTTGTTTATTTAGCATCAATTCACAGCAAAAATCATCTCAAGGCACGAACAAAAACATTCACATACTTTAAAAAATGCCAATTAGCAAAAGTTATCTAAGGAAGTCAGCAAACTGCGCTTTAACTGTCGTAATTTCCCTTTTTGAGCAGCATACTGGTGACAGTGGAAAGGAAAAACTTCCTTTTAATAGGAAGAAACCACCAGCAGAACCAGAGCACCGAGGAACTCCATACTCTGGTGTATGAAGAAGATTGATTATTAATATAAATAAACTGGAATCTTTCAGATAAAGATGATTTGAACCAGTTTAGAGCTGTTCCTGTGATCCCAATATCATGTTCAAACTTCTCTAATGCCCCTTTTCCACCGTCACAGAGCGGATCAGATCAGTTCGGGTTGGTTCAGATCGGTTCGGGTCTGTTGTGTTTCCATGTACATTTCTGGACCAGCTCTGTAGGCGGGGACTAGAATCCAACTCGTCTTACCACCTGGTGGCGGTAGTGCTCCCTTAAGCTACTTACTAGCCACCACTAAACATATTAGAAGAAGAACACCCTGAAGGTTTTGTCACACGATGTTGTGGAAGAGATGTTATGCTCTAATGGAGTACCTCATGAGCTGTAACTTATAAACCTGATTCATAATCCTACCTTACTGCCTTCCCTGCTGCTTTAAACCCATGTGTTTTTCATTTTAGTATAGGTTTTTACAATAAAGATGTATTAAAAATATCTTCACTTTTATTATTTGCAGATATGCACAAGGTTCATGTTAAAATTGCAAAACATCACACTGTGCTGTAATCTTTGAAACTGCTTTTACAATAAGATACAGACTTGAAAACAATTAGGTTAAATTTTGTCCTTGAATTTTAAAGATTTGTCTTTCATTAAATTAAAACATAAATTTATTACTTATTAATCTAAAAAAGTTAAGTCTGGTCCTCTGGACATTCAAAAAACAAAACTAACAAAAAACATTTAGTTTATTTATTATGAACTGTATTGTTTGTTTTGTGAATGTCCAGAGGACCAGACTTAACTTTTTAGATTTTTCTGCCTGGATTATTGAGCAGCATCAGGATATTACTTAATAAATAGTCAGTTGGTCTGTGAACACCATGGGCTCCTAGAAGAGCTGAAGAGGTGGCTGTTGATGTCTGTGCCTCCCTGGTGAAGATGCTGCTCCCACAACCCTGAAGCAGAAGAGGATGGATGAATGGATGGATGGATGGATGGACGGGTGGCGAAGGAGGAGACCATCAAACAGCAGGAGTGGTCAGTTCAGGTGAACTCCTGCCTGTTTGCTTCAGATCAGCTGTTCAAATCTCTGCAGGTTCAAATAAAAGGTGCACCAGGACTTTCAGCTGAATCTCTCGGGCCACAGTTGTATGGCCAATAACTGATAACTGTCCTTTCTGAATTTTTGACTGTTTTTGTGTCACTTCATCCTAGAACCAAAAAATTATAACATAATAACAGTTGAGCAGATTCTAGTAATCTTTTCTTAGGATCCATTAAAGATCAAATGCAATTGGAAATTCTTCTCAATTCCAGTATGAATTTAAACAAACACTATCTGCACTTAACATTGTAAAATTTGTTTAGGAAATTTAATGTTCAAGGACACCACTTAAGAAAAAAATTGTTTAATAGGAAAAGTAAGAAGTGAAAAATGTAGAAAAATAAAAACTACTGCGTCCAACTAATGATTGTGTATCTGTCTATCCCTTGTCTCACGGGCTTCATCCAGAAGAAGACGCACGTGTTGTTCCTGCTGTGTCCGGTTCAGTTCTTCATGTTCATTCAGTGATGAAAGAAGACTTTTCTTTACTGGACTCTTTTCTCTTTCTCTTCACTAGAAAGAAGAAAAAGTGGTTAATTCAAGCTACATACTGTTTTTGAATAAATGCATGAAACAAAGAAAGGTGCTGCTAACAGCTATAATAGATATATTAATAATAATAAACTGATCAAATAAGAAAATGAAAAATAAATTGATTTAAAAATAATGAAAATGATAATAATGGATATATGAATCAGAAAGTATTGTACAGATGCAGATATTCTTTGTCATTCGCACCACATGTGGTACATGTGGTGGATCAAAATTATGTTCACAGGGTCCCAGTTACATCCAACAATAAAATATAAAAGAAAAACAGTAATAAGATCTAAGATATGAACTAATAAAAACATCAACTAAAAATATAAGCTCTAATAGCATAAAAACATTAAACACAATACGCAGAACAGCAGCACGGACATGAGTCTGTGTGAACAGACGAGCACGAATGAACACAGCAACATGAAACAGATCAGCAGCAACATGAAACTGATCAGCAGCAACATGAAACTGATCAGCAGCTACATGATGTGATTCTTCACAGTGTTATATATTCATGAGGCTGCACAAACTCAAGTTCATGTTGCTGTTTGATGTATTGTTTTGATTGTTTACTGCTATTAGTGCTTAGTGTTTTATTAGTAGATGTTTTTTAGTTGATATTTTTCTTAGTTCATATCTTAGATCTTATTACTGTTTTTATTTTACGTTTTGTTGTCTGTAACTGGGACCCTGTGTACATAATTTCATCCCAATTCAGTATTTATTCAACATTTTAGTTTTTTACTTTAAAAATAAAATAAATCAAGTCCTTATCGGCACAAATAAATTGATGTGGAACATGTTGCATCTTACCGAGCACAGAAGCTGCAGCGTTGTGCTGCTCTGTGAGGTGCAGCTGGGCTGTGATGGAGACCTGTCAGGTGTAGACTCCTCTGATGGAGCAGGAGCAGGAGCCGGGAGGCTTGGAGGGTTTAATGTGGAGTTTAGAGATGAACCATCACGCACTGAAATACGTTCTGGATAAAATACAGTGAGAAACGGGACCAGAGTACAGTTAGCATTTATGCAAATTAGCTTAGCATCGTAGCACCGACGTTGTACTATTATGGCGTCAGCCTCTTTTGTTAGTTAAAAATATGTTCAGAACCGATGGGATGAGTAATTTAAAATATGTTTAAAGTTAGAAAACACTCACCATCTTCTATAAATGGTTCAAGTAGAGCAGTAGTCGTGTCCAAACCACCCTCCAATCCTCCATCTAGCTCGCTTTGACTTTTTTCGTCGGCCACCAAGCACAACAACACCTGCACTTCTGCATTTGACCACGGCTTTGATATTATTGTTGTTGTATAGCTTCAAAATACTAAAAGATACGCTCCTCGTGTTATCGCTAATGGCAAGCGGTAGAGAAAAAAATGGTGGATCGGGTTGTTTGGAAAGACTCCACAGACTCCTCCCCCCGACCAATCAGTGACCGACAGTGTTTCTGACGTCACGGCGCGGCTCGCTCGGAACCCTTGAGAAGCCGGGCCAGAATTTAGCGAGGCGAGCCGGTTTCTGGAACAGTGGAAAGACCTCAAACGCGCTTCAACCCGGAAATATCCGACCCGCGCCGTGACGGTGGAAAAGGGGCATAACATAATGTTGAGATTTATTGCACCAAATGCAGCATTGAGGTCTAACAGAACAAGACACAGAATATCATAAGTAACTTTTACCAGAACTCCTCAAACAGATTATTTCTGTCCAGTTGTTCATACAATAGATTTGCAATTATTTTCTCTAGAGTTTTTTTTAGAAGAGGAGGAGACTGGATAGGTCTATAATTGGCCAGCGTTCCTGAATCAAGATTAAGTTTCTTGAGGTTTAATTACAGTGACCTTAAAGTGCCATGCTACAAAATCATTCATTAAAGACAGATTCAGCAGATCCAAAATGAGGATATTAAAAGAAACATCTCTTTGAACAGTGTGGTTGGACATCCACAGTGGGCATGTCTCATCCCAGAACATGTCCAATGGCTGGTTTGGATGAAGCTATGATTTTTGACATTTCAGAGCTAAACAGGCGTTATTGAGTTAGGCATCTTTCTATTCTGGCTCTCGATCAAGGCGGATGCTCCTGCTCTCCCTCCCCCTGTTCTCCTCTTCCTCCTGTTTTGCTCTCTGTGTGTTTGAAGCTCCTGGTACACACCTCCCTAACAAAAAATACGATTATGGATCTGGTGAGCTGGACTTTCAATGAAATCGACAAAATCTTTTCAACAAAATGACAGGGTCCTGGAGAACCCTCTTGTCCGGCTGAGACTCATGCTGCAGGATACGTCAGAGATCCGTGGGGAGTTTGGCAGCTGATGTGCCTCTCAGTTCTGTCTCAGGAGGACGCTGGAGACATTTATATATTTGGATTTATGATAGCAGGGGTTCTGCTCTTTGACATCGGTGGGGCTCTGTTTTATCGACTTTTGAAGAAGACATCAGCAGCAGTTTTGGCCACGACAAGCCTTAAAGGTTTGGTTCGTGCTATGAGGACTCAAAATCGTCTGATTTATGAGCTAAACCATAACATGGAGGTGATTTGTGAGAATCGCAGGCCACCTGCGTCTTCTAGGACTCAACAGCATATTGGGATTGACCTTAAGGAGACTCACAACGTGGATCAGTGGAATGTCCATAAATTTGGACATTTTGGACCGGAAAGTTCCAGCAGGACTCAAGGCTGACCAGAAAAAACAGCCTGCCTGAAGAAAACCAGCAATTGTAATTGTGGCTTATCTGAATTTGACTTCCCTGTTTGGCCTCAGATACAAGTCGACTATCAAATTTCTCCTGGGACATGAGTAAATAGGGACAAAAACTTTGTCTATCGTACCACCACCTCCCCCACCCCGAGAATATCTGTGCAGGCTTATCAGAATTGCCGGTTGAACAACATAATCAGAACTGTGGCCTATTTGAAAGTGCTCATGGACAAATCTCAACGTCTTGACGTCAAATGTATATGTAATCATGTTTATAAATGTTCTTGCTGGTAGAGTTGTTTGATGTCTCAAATCATGTCCTGATAGGACAAGACATGAAGAGCTCTTTTTTTTTGTAATACCACTATTTATCATGGTTCTTACACTTTTTCTATCTAAAAGTATTCTGATAAAGAATAAGGGGCCGTGCTTTTTAGCAGCAGCAACGTGCACTCCGCCCATCTTTTGGATGACTGTATGAACATAATCTCACTGTATTTCGGTACAATGATAATAAAGCTTATTCTGATTCTGAATCAAGACCAAAACTGTCCAAACACAAATCGTGTTCTAGTGACATTTCTAAAACTAGCTCTAAAGTTGTTTTTCTTTTCAGTTTATCGTGATTCTACTCTGATTCTAATGAGTCTGCCTTGACTCTAATTTGATTCCAATAAATCTATTCTGAATCTAAACAGATTCTTTTCAGATTCTAATTTTTTTACTCGGATTTGACTAATTTTACTCTGATTCTATTTTTAGTAGTCTGATTCTACTAATTTTGCCCTGACTCTAAACAGAATTTAATAGTTCTACTCTGACTCTATTTTGACTCTACTGATATATTTTTAGAACTAAGGAAAAAAATCCAGCAGTTATTTTTTAAAGCTTCAGGATTATTTGACAGAACTAACAAGTTTGAAGAGGTCAGTGTTTCATATGTTATAGGAGGCACTGTAAACCGAGCTGGTCTCCGTGTGACATCACAGTGACGTTAGCACGCACCTTTAAAATCCAGGTGATCATGTCTTTGTGGACCTCCAAGTGAGGAGCATTCTGCAGACTCTCCAACAAAGCCAAAACACTTCCTGAAGTGCTGGGAGCTTCACCTGGACCTGAACACATAAACCCAATGAGACAAAACAAAAACTACAGTCTGCCACGTTAACGTATTTAACACAATTTGATTTTAAATATCACATGACAAATGACTTCCTCGTCAGAAAAGAATCATGTTTTTTACTCCACGTGTGTGTAAGTGTGAACTGACGTGTGATCTTAGACGTGTAGTTGAAGATGACGTCATCATCGGTGCTGCTATTCTCCAGCTGCTGCTGTTCCTCCAACAAAGCCATGCCCACCAGGTGGAGTGCCTACATGTGGGATGACAAAAGGAATTCAGAATTACCAGGTGTCAAAACACCCACTCAGTAGCTCTGTGAGGACTCTAAGGAGGACGAGGCCCTCCACGGGCCAATAATGTTCATCTTTGATGACTCACTAGAAAACAGGGCTCTCTGCAGGTCCTTAAAGTCCCTCTGTCTGGACTCAGAGAGGGGTGGGACCCTCTATGGGCTATTAAAAGTTCCTATGTGTAGCCACCTTAGAGGACAAGGCACTCCCCTAGTTACTGAAGTTCTTCTGTGTGGACTCAGAGAGGACAGAACCTTCTGCGGGTCATAAATGTTCCTCTTCCAAACACAAAGAAGAAGGGGTCATCAGCTGGTCAATAGTTATGACAGGGACCTCCACTAGTCATTAATGTTACACTGTGGGAACTCAGAGAACGATAGAGCCCTCTGTAGCCATGTTTACATGCGCAGAATTCTTTGACTGGATTGAAATGTGTTCTGTTTGAATAATTCAAATGTATTGTTTACATGGGCACAGTCTGTTCATGACGAGCGTTTACATGCAGCGGGCTTTGTTCTGAACAGCAGTACTGACATGCGCAGAGTGGTAAACTCTCCTTTAAAAAAAACACTGAAGAAGAAGTTCTACTTCCGGGGTGAACGTAAACAAACCTGAGCACCCAAAATGGACCCGCGACAGGTTTTAATGATGGTGGAGACGTTACTGCACTCCCTGACTGAGCTACAGGTAATACGGATCATTTTGAGCTCTTTCAAAGTTTCTAGTAGAAATGTTGTCGCTCACCGACCAGTTTTGCTCCCCTGACATGCTAATATTATTAGTATTAGCCAGGCGGAAATGGCAAAGTCACACATGCGCAGTCAGGTCAGTTTTTCACGATCAGATAAAAACGAACAGATCAAGCGTTTACATGCGCACCGATCGGGTTACGGATCGGCGTAAACCATCCGTTTCGTTCTGATCACAAATTATATCAGAACGCGCCGAATACACAAAAAATAACCCGAACGGAGTGTTTACATGACACACCTTTATTCCGACCGGCCATTTGATCCGGTTACTTATGTCCATGTAAACATACCTTGTGAGTCATTAAAGTTTCTCTGTGAGGACTCATTAGAGAACAGAACCTTCTGCTGGTCATCAAAGTTCCCAACAGACCGCCACTGTCCATTATGTAAAACCATCTTGAAACACTGTTCTTTCAGCCCATTGTAGGTAAATTGTCTTATCAGTGTGATTACATTCCTGTCTTCAGTCTGATTAACCGTCCTGTCATTGGTCTGATTGGCCCCTCAGGTATTTGAACACACTTTTTGACAATAAAAAGCAAAAACGCTTCCAGTGTCTCACCCTCTGCAGCATTGACTCGGTCCAGCCGCCGCTGCTCGGCTCCACAGCCCACTGCAGCACAGTGCCTTCTATAGCCAGCAGCACATCACACTGCAGCAAGTTCACCAGGCTGGCAAAGAGCGGACACAAAGGAGGAGGTACTGGTGGGGGCAGGGCTGAAGCACACACACACAGGTTACCATGGTGACCAGGTAAGTTACAAACAAATGCTGGAAAATAATCAGAGTTAGCTGTGTTTACCTGTGTCCTCACCAACCTGTGTCCTCAGCTTCCTTTGAGCCTCCTCAGCCTGAGGTAACACACACAGCACCATAACAAACAAATCAATACCTAAACAATACCTGATCAGTACTAAATCAATATCTTGATCCAGATGAATTCAAGTACCTTGGACTGGTCCGCTCGGGTGTAGTGATGGAAGTAAAGGTTAAAGTACCTGTACCACTCGGGTCGCAGCTCATACAGGCCACGCCCAGTCACACCGGGCTTCCTGTGGACACAGTACTACAATCAGAACAATCAGCGCTGTAGGCCTCCCCCAGTCATGTCTGGCGACCTGTAGATGCAGTACTACAGTAAATACACTAAACAGTACTGCAGGCCCCACCCAGCCTTTAATGGGTTCATGTGGACTACATTCTGTACTACATTCAGTGATATACTAGAGCTGTAGGAGTATGTCATGTATATTTAAGGTAGACTGCAGGACCAAAAACATCCATGTTAGGCTGCCTTCAGACTCAGGTCTCCCTTGTAAAAGAGCTGTGATCGCAACGAGACTTGTGTGTATGTGTGTTTGTGTGTGTGTGTGTGTGTGTGTGGGGGGGGGGGGGTGAGTGGATGGATGGATGAATAAAATGATTGTTCAGGTGGATGTGTGAAACAAAAACTAACTTGAAAGAAGCCACGCTGTCGATGACTTGCTCAAGACCCGTCTCCTTATTACCCTGGAAAAAAAATGTCTTAGTCTGATTAAACACAAGATTAATCAGTAAACTTCAGGCAAACACACAGGTTAACACTCAGGTAAACAGGTGAAGACTCAGGAAAAAGCAGGCAAACATTCAGGTGAACAACAAAGTCCATGCTCAATCAGGCTCAAACTCAGGTGAACAGGTAAACACTAGAGCAAGCAGGTCACTCAGGAAAACACACAGCAGGCGAACAATTAGACAACTCGAATGAACACTTGGACAAAAACTCAAGTAAACACTTGGGAGAACAAGTAAATACTCAGGTAAATAGGAAAACATTAACATAAACAGGTGAAAACTCAAGTGCTCAGATAAACATTCAGGTAAACACACAAGTAAACATCTAATGAGGCTGAGTCAGGTCTTCTGGACAGATTCTTCTTTGTTGAAACGTTTCATCTTTTATCCAAAAGTCTTCTAGTCTGAAAAAGTCTTTTGAATAAAAGATTAAACGTTCTTCTTCGGATTCGGAAGAAGAAGAATTGAAGAATTCTGATTCTTCACAAAGAAGAACCCGTCCAGAGGACCTGACTCAACTTTGTTAGATTTATCTACCTGGATGACTGAGCATGCATCAGGACACTCAAGTAAGCACTTGGATGAACAGGTAAACACTTAGGTAAACATTAACATAAACAGGTGAAGACTCAGGTAAACACTCAGGTAAACATTCAGGTGAACACTCACAAAAACAGATAAACACACAATCCAACACTTGGATAAACAGATCAGTAACATTTCATTTTGCATCTCACGTTCTCAGGAAGAGCTTTCACCAGCTCGCTGTGAGCCATTGGTCTGATTGACAGTTGGTGGATGATTTCTCTTCTGACCTCATCAAAAGGCTCCACCTGTCCAACACCTGGCACATAACGCTCACCTGTAACACACAGACATGCTGCAGCTAAGCTGACCATCCTGTTTCACCTGTTCATCCTGCACCTGGAGCCTCATCGTTTATGGTTCCAGCAGTCCAGAAGCACTCACCAACAATCATGATGATGAGATGAAGCATCTCCTCAATTAGAGTGTTCTGCTGGACCAAGTCCTGTGGAACAGATACTAGAGCATCAGAACCACAATCAAAGGCTCAGATACAGGTCCTTCTCAAAAAATTAGCATATTGTGATAAAGGTCATTA